TTCTCGTCATCTCAAGACGATAAACAAATTTATCTACATATCCATAAAATAAAAATTGTAATATGTATGTAAGGACGTTATAAATGAATTAGAATAGGTCGTCTCCACCGGTGAATGCCGTACTGTGTGCGCTGAATGCTCTTACCGATTTCACTAATGTAAAACCATAGTGCCGTTCAAATGTACAGGTAGCACCGTCTAATTACGGAATTTTATACTATTTGAAATGGGTCGATTATTTTAATTTTACAGTGATGTCCTTTTTACCGGTTAATTAAAACAATTAAGTATAATATCTAGAGTGACTAACGTGTACTGAAGCGGGGCGTTCGTAGTGCATAACACCAACTCACATCCTTGTACTACAGTGTTCTAAATGACAGTTACGAAATTATGCTAAATTTTTTGCTACACCTGACCTACTTCGAACTTTCTTGACGCTAGACTTATGCTTAGAAGAGAAGCTAACATTTTGCGCGCGACATTATCCAGGTCAAAGCATAACATACCTCGATAGTCTTATTCATACATATTTAGGTATACTAATTGCCATAGCTTTCTCTCTTGACTTACAGGTTGTATCCACCTCTCACTACTCTAACTTAGTTACCATGAGTGTAGAGATGTGGAGGTGTAATTCATTAACTTCATTATTGCACAACAAAAGCTGCCTCTGATTTTATAAACATATGAGGCACTTTCTTGCAATGTTAAATTGTTGCTTTAATTTCACAAGAAGCCTATTCGATAATAGCTGAATCAAACCGAGATTACCAGATGTAAGCGTTAGAAACAATGGTGTTGACAATACGTCTATTTTCTAATGCAAACATTCGTATAGCGACCACTTTTAAATTTATACGCGGCATGCGTGAAGCAAAAGGAAAGTGTGCTGACGGACCGTATAGACCGTGACTATATTTTACCTCACTCAATACAATCAAAATGTATGGAAACGATGTCTGAATATTATGCTTTGCTTAATAATAACAATGGTGATTGAACGGCTAAGACTAAATGTCGTAGCATTTTATTTTTGATTCGTGTTACAGCCTGTTTACTTAATAAAACAATCATAATGTACATATGTAGTATTATATCTTTTATACAGCAGAACACAGTGCTGTGTGGCAGTCGAGTGTCACAAACCTTTGATGATAAATAAATTTAGAAAAACAACTATAAATATTTAGTATTTTCATAGCACACTAATTAATTACTATATTAGACTAGTATTTTCTTGTAGAGATAGATATTTTTTCATGATCGTTGTCTTCTAAAATAGCTAACTTTAAGGTTACAAAAAGAAACAGAATAATTAATTCGTTGATTAGCCTATATTACTTCAAATAAGAATGGTTGCGGTGTGCAAGTACATTGTGTCATTGTACCAGATTCATTTATTAAGTTTAAAACAAATAAAATAACCTGAAATAACATTTAAGTAATTTTCAACTGAACTATCGACCTGACTATACAATGTTTATTTACAGACCATGAGACATTCTTATTTTCATAGGTGACAATGCACCTTGTTTGTAGTTGGCTGTAGATTGCCACTTGCAATTCGTTAGCAAACTACGAGTTAAATATGTTAAAATTATTTAACTATGATCCGCGTAAAAAAATTATTTGAAAAACACCTCAAGAGGTGTTTTATGCAAGGACAAGCCCTCCCTAAATTGCGAACACTATCCCCTTCACGGGACTTCGCCTGCGTGTAATTTAGGGTTTTAATTATGTTGCGCGAGACCTTAATTCTTTTTCTAAAATATAAGTAGCCTAGTTACTCCTTATAACATTAGCTACCTGCCAGTGAAAGTCCCGTCAAAATCAGTCCATCCATTCCGTATATTAGCCGGAACACCCAGACAGACAGACAGACAAAAATTTAAAATATTATGTTTTTGTTATAAGTACCGTATATACGAGGGGAGGTCAAAAAGTTCGCGGAATGACAGGGAAGGATAATGAAATGAAACATTAAACTATTTTTCCTTTTCAATGTATTCTCCCTAATACATTTATTAGATCTGTCAAAGAACTTATTAATACCGCCTAAAAAAAAGATTTGTCGTCGGCGTCAAAATAGGCCGAAATTGCCGACTTCACTTCATTATCGTCGCCAAATTTTTTCGCACGCAGTTGTTTCTTCATTTTTGGAAACAAATAATAGTCGCATGGGGCCAGGTCTGGGCTGTAGGGTGGGTGGCGCAGTTGTTCAAAACCGCACCGGTGAATGGCAGCCGTCGCTACATGGTTTGTGTGCACGGGCGCATTGTCTTGCAAAAGGGGCACACCTTTTGGAACCCTTCTTCGCATTTTTTCTTTAATATCTTCTTTTAATGTATCTAGTAAAGAAGTGTAGTATTCTCCCGTTATGGAAACACCACGTTCTATTGTCGTCTCAATCGGCTGGAAAGATCATGGCAGCAGCCGATTGAGACACCTTATACTTTTTGGCATGGGGTGTGCCTTTTTTATGCCACTGCATCGACTCTTGCTTTGACTCAGGTTCATAGTGGTGAACCCAAGTTTCATCGCCAGTTACAATTCGGGCCATAACTTCTTCCCTTTGCTCTCTACAGCGGTCCAAAAACTCGCGACAACTTTCGACGCGTAACAGTAAGCATTCTCGGAACCCATCTTGCACAGACTTTTTACTTTAGTCATGCCAAGCTGTTGATGTAGGATCTTTAAAATGGTTGATTCTGATATTACAATTAATGCTGCAATCTGTTTTTTCTTTAGCCGGGCATCTTCCGATGCAAGTTTTTCAACTTTTTCTATTATTTTTGTCGTGGTAGCCTCGATCGGCCATCCAGGTCCCTCTCTTGTTTGAAAAGGGCGTGCCATTTATAAATCATGGTTTTATCACGAGCGGAGTCCCCATAAACAACTGACATCTCTTGAAAAATGGTTTGAAGTGTCTTTCCTTGTTTGGTGAGAAACTTAATGACGGCGCGATATTCAATTTTCACCATAGTGGCTAGTTTCATCCCGATTGACTTGTTTACTCGTTAATAACTCAAAAAGTAATGATCCGATTAGTTTTTTTTTTGCGCCCGAAGCAATTGGAAAAGGGCTACCCTTTACGTAGGGAGGCGGAAAATGCATTACGCATACCACGATAGGCTATCCATCGTGGCTATGGGGGACTCACACCTAACTGGGGAGCCTAAGTGATACCCCCTAAAAACCGTCTTTGGGGACTGACAACTAGCTGTTTAAAGCTGCACATGCCGTGTCGTAAAGCGACCTTCTTTTGGGAAAAAGAGGGCGCAGGACGATCCGATTAGGCTGAGACTTGGTGTATATACTAACAATGAGTCACTCAACTAGCGTCTACTTGGATGAGCAAACTCACCCTTGCCAACCCCGCCATTCCGCGAACTTTTTGACCTTCCCTCGTACTTTCATATGCATTTAGTAAAAAGCTGTTATTTTGACATTACAAACAGACACTTCAATTTTATTTATTTGTATAGATTATCACCATTAATGCCAACACCACTAAGAAAGGCACCACCGTCGATAATACGACACGTGGTTCACCTCTAAACGAGGCATCATCAGGAGAAACAGCCTCGGCGATGGCTGACCACTAATATCGCATTTTTATTTTTTGTGCCAAACTTAGCTCAATATTTTTAACATATTTAATATTATAGATTTCTGCAAAGATTGATGATTCGTCTGATTATATTAATATGCGGAATACGAGGTTTGTCACTATGATTTCAAAGGGACACCTTTTGTTATTTCATTTTTATATGTTATGTTTTTATTATTATGTATCGCTATAAAAGCGTAACATAATGATGGGGTTACACTTTGCAACATTTAGTTATTCTGATGATAAAGTCTGATTTGGCGGCTTCCGAATTGATTCTTAGATCGTCATTGTAAAATGATAATCTTTTAGAATACAACATCATCACACTTGAATCTATGTAGTTTTCGAGTAGACAAGAAGAATTACTCATAATAATATTGGTTATTGCTTAGTTTAGTAGTAGCAGTACCAGCAGTAGTAAAAGCTGGCAATTTTATTAGCATTACGTCACTAAGAATCGACAAAGTGCTTGGTAAGCTCAGTTACTGTTCTTTGCAATAAGTCCTCCCCTCCCCTCAATACTTAAATGATGTATTAGGTTGTTCATAGTAGTTCATTTAAGGGTCTTTTAAGGGATCCGTGCAAAATAATTTTGATTTACGCTTATTGTCTATATACCAAATATATTTCTCCCTTTTTAAACCCCAAAATTAATACAACTAAAAAGTCAAATTTTAGCCTCACGTCTATAATTTGGAAGCCCCATTTTATAATTACGTCAGATTATTATTACCTACGTGAAAAAATCTCGTAAAAACAGTTCTGTGGCAAAGTGACAGATATTGAAGGTGATTCGATTCACCCTTAGGCCGCGTTCCGACGACACGCACCCGCTACGCGCACGCCACACGCGTCAGCACCCGCGTCTAATTCGCTTTGTGATTTGATGCCTATAATTTGAGTCTTATGACAAATCAATAAATCTGAAATTGTATAAAAAGCGCGGGCGCAAGGCGTAGCGGGGCGGGTGCAGGGCGAGCGCGGGGCCGGCGCGGAGCGGGAACGAGACAGGCGCGTGGCGTGTGCGGTTGAACGTTGATAAATGCAATTTCAGATTTATTGATTTGACATAAGACTCAAGTTATATGCAACAAATTTCACAGCTAGTTAGAATGCGGGTGCTGACGCGCGAGGCGTGCGCGTAGCGGGTGCGTGTCGTCGGAACTTGGCCTTATGCACGTTGTTACAGTAAATTAAAAATACTTACATACAAATTGATTTTTACAGTAGATAAATTATATATAGATATTATACGTGTGAGAGTATTGTATATTGTAATTTATACGTATTTTGTGCTGATTTCTGTAGTTAATGAAACGTCGATATTGGGGTCATCGGCCAAGATCAGGACTCTTAAAATTATGTCAACGTTCCAGGTGACAGAATGTCTCGCAACAAAGACAAGCACGAGGGCGCGAGCGGGCGCCAATATCGCATCATGTCGGATGCGGAGCGGGCATCTGGCAGGCGCGGAGGCTGGGCCACGCTTGAGGTGAGCAAGCAGACAACTTAATTTAATTTAACCGACGATCCTTATAGTTTTGTTATTACACTGAAGTGAAATACGAACTTACAGTTCACTTAATGGTAAGTCGCTACTGCAGTCCATGGACACATGCAGCCAACTTCAACAAAGAAGTCTGCGGATGCGTTGTCACCCCTGAGGGCTAAGATAGAATGCTCACAGCCTATAATTGTACTATACCTTCAGAAATAGGTAAGAAGGTGGCGCCTACTTTAAAACAGAAAACCAGTTCCACTATCTAGTTGAGTTCGTTGCATATTGAGATTAATGTATTGTATAATAGGGTATAACTCGGTTTGTAGATTGCGTACAGCAAACGTATCACCAAGCTTTTAAACATGGGTAAGTCACGCTACATCTATACTGCAGCATGGATGTGGCTCAAACGGGAAAAAATGCCAAGCATCCGCATTTTAATTTTTAATCGAGGATAGATGTATGTGACTTTGGGCTACAGCATCCACTTACCATTTATACTGCCCTCGTTAGTCACCATTCTTTGTATAAAAGAAAAAGAAAAAGATCTCACCTAATGAAAAGTGAGGATTACCTATTATGGAGCGTAGAAATTAAGTATTTACTCTTGCCTTGAAGAATTTAAATTGTAGCGGTCATGGAAGACTGATGTAGGTTTAGAATTTCAATCTCTTGCTGTGCGCATCTTTTTGATGAAGTGATAAGTGTTACGCGACCGAGACACGTCAACTGCGTCATACATTTCGGTTTATATGAACGTTTTTCTAATACGGTTTACAGTGGCGCATGCATATGGGTGTATTCTCATTATCAAACCTAATGCGTTTAAAATCTTTTTGTTTTTCATCAAATTAAACACAAAACTTAATACAATGTTTTACTGTCTCAAAACACCGACTCACAAAACGTTACGCCTTTATACGTTCCACTTCTGGGCACAGGCCTCCTCTCCATTTCTGAGAGCGCCTTAGGGCAAGGAAGTGTACGCCGCGCTGCTCTAATGCGTGTTGGCGAACTACACATGTCTTAGAAATATATATTTTTCTTATTTTTCACGATGTTTTCTTTCACCGCCGAGCACGTGGTAAATCAGCACTTAAAATTGCAATTAACAAATTCATTGGTGCCGGCGGGGATCGAACCCGGGTTGCTCGCATGCTGTGAAATTTACAGCAAGTGCTAACCATACGAGGTACCACGGCTTGTTGTCTGACATAAATAAAATAAAACTGAACCAAATAAGTTATAATAGTGTAAACTCTGTTCCGAAATTCAACCGTACTTCAAGTAGCTCTATGGTTAAATATTGATGGAGGAACGTAATATTTTTTTCCCATCCCCACTTTTGAAAAAAAAAATCCGTGTCCATCATTCTAAGGAAATTATGTTGATGATATATACAGGGTTATTTTGCAATAACCGATCATGTTTGCAAAGATGCTTCATAATAAGTAATATAGGCAAATGGTGAAGAAAAATATATTAAAAAAATCTCAATAATACTGTCCTTTTTATGTTTTAAATTTATTTTGGCTGATTTTACTACACACGCACACATTCGTAAGGGTCGATTGGTAGGCATAAACATTGTTACCTATAAATTACATTCAATTTGAGACAATTTCAAATAAAAGTAGAAGCCTTATTTACTCGTATCTTCAAAAACTGCAATAACGGTATATCTTTATATGTATATATGAACTTAAGTTTAATTATCTTGATCTCGTTACGAAATAGTCATAATACCTATTTATTTACAATAGAAGTGATTTATTTGACAACACAACATTACGAAACATGAATGTATAACAATGATTACACAAAATAAGTTAAAATTTAACCCACAAAATGTAATATTGCAGCTCCAAAGCCCAGTAAACATATAATATCATCAAAGTATACTTAGTAAAATTAAAAATATCGTAAACTAATGCAAGTATGAAAAATATTATCTTAATGTGTTTTCAAAAAAGTTTAACTCAGCAATAAGGATAAGGTCCAGTACTGATTTTCATTAAAATCAGATTGTAAGAGATTTTATAAAAAAAAAGGATCTGCTGCAATAAATTATTTGACTTTATAAATTCTACACTAATTACTTTAAAAAAGTAAACTTTCAATAAAAGCTTAAACTGATATCAAAGAACTAACAGAATGAACTTTTAATCGAAAGTAAAAGACGACTTCAAACAACTAAAAAGTATAAAATAATTTCACATTCACAATTCATTGCGGTTGGCAACGACATCTCTATCTCTACATAAAACAAAGTCGCTTCCCGCCGTCTTCTGTAAGCTTAGATCTTTTAAACTACGCAACGGATTTCGATGCGGTTTTCATCAATAGACAGAATCATTCAAGAGGAAGGTGTATATTATGTTGAATATATTCATATTATCTTCTTCTATACTATAATAAAACTCTAACACGACGTCTGTCTAAACGCGCATCACGCAAAAACCTGTGAACCGATTTGGATGGGATTTTCACAGGAAGATAGCTGATGTTATAAGGAGTAACTTAGGCTACTTTTGTTTGAGGGTAAATTAGGGTTCCGCGCAAAAAATAAAAACCCATGAAATCCAATCGCAATAAATTCCACGTGGGCGAAGTCGCGGGGAACTGCTAGTATTTTTTTCCGCGTGTCTGTAACTGAACTCCTACTAAACGGATGGACGGATTTTGATGTAATTTTTGTGTGTGATTAAGTTGATTAGAGAATGGTTTAGATTCACAATTGGACTCGGTAGGTGGCGTTGTTGTCAAAATCCAAAAATCAACCGTGCGTAACCGTGGCGGATCGCTAGTATTGTATAGATAAAAGAAGAATTAAAATCCCCGACTTGAGAATGTGAAATTATTCTATTCCTTTTTGTTCTTTAAATTCGGCCTTTATTTTTTATTACAAGTTAACTTTTTAACCTTTTTGGATGGACTAAGGAATATAACAATCTCAATGCCATCTAAATAGTTATCTTAAAACTTCAGCTGTATTTCATTACCCCTAAGGGTGTAATTTTTTATTTAAATTTATGTGGGACCACTCGTAATCCCCTTTCTCTAAATTTATTTTAACTTTTCAATTTTATCAAAATCGCATCACAGTTGACAAAATATCGTGTAAACCATCTTTTATGAAATCGACTAAAAATTAAATAATTTTTACATAATAGCTTTAGAAATCGGTGCTATGATATTATATTGTATCAAAGGTTTAGAGGCCTCCACTTCAGAAGCTGTAGTGTTGATTTTTTAAATTCTTTTTAGTTATTTGAAGTCGGTTTTAACTTTTTAAAAGCTTAAGTTTTGACCTTTGTGAGTGCACTAAGGATCCAGTATTTTTCCTTTAGGAGTAGAATTTTTCTTCAAAATTAAATGGGACCACCCCTGAGGTTACCTGTTTAATTAAAAATAATTATTAAAATTGGTTCACAATTTGCGAAGGTATCGCGTAACATACATACAAACAAGTGGTAAAATTAAAAATGTTGTACAACCCCACTTCAATATAAATAAAATGAGAACATCATCAATGTAGTCGAAGTAGAAAAGAATCATCAAAATCGGTTCACCTAGAAAAAAGTTCTGAAGTATCACACATTTAAAAAAAAATAGACGAATGAGAACGTCCTCCTTTTTTTGAAGAGGGCTAAAAATGAGAACATCATCAATGTAGTTGAAGTCAATTAAATAAGCACTACACACTACATTGATTTCAGTTATCTTCAATAAAGGATTACACAAAAACAACTAGTCAGATCTTGATCAAATTTATATGGGATCACAAGAGAAGCACCAGCTTTCAAATAAAAAATAGTATCATCAAAACCGGTTCATTTAGAAAAAAGTTCTGAGTTATCACACAAAAAATACAGTCGAATTGAGAACCCCCTCCTTTTTTTTGAAGTCGGTTGAAAATAGAACACAGTATATAAGGGAAAAGGATCACAGCAGGACTGTAAAAACTACCGTGGTATCAGCCTTCTTAGCATTGTGGGAAAACTGTATGCTAAGGTACTAATTGAAAGAGTTATGAAAGAAACTGACGGAAAAATTTGGGATGTGCAAGCGGGGTTTAGAAAGGGAATGGGATGTACGGATCAGGTCTTTTCCATGCGCATGATCGCCGAGAAGTTTTTGGCCAAAAACCAAAAAGTTTTTTGTGCGTTCATGGACTTGGAGAAGGCTTATGACAGAGTGGACAGAGATGTGTTATGGCAAACACTGAACTCATTTGGGTTGAGCGCTGGTATGATACAGGCATTGAAGTCTCTATATAGGGACTCTAGTGCTTGTGTCAGGATCAACGGGGCCTACTCGGACTGGTTTGACATCCATAAAGGTGTCAAACAGGGCTGTGTGGCTTCCCCGTGGTTGTTCAACCTATTTATGGACAGTTGTTTGGAAAATTTGAAAGTAGAAGAATGCGGGTTAAGAATGGGTGAGTTAACCGTCAAATGCCTTTTGTACGCCGATGATCAAGTCATACTTGCGTCGTCGGCAGCCGAGTTGCAAATGATAGTTACATTAATGAACAGGACATTAAAAGAAAAGGGAATGAAAGTGAACGCAAGTAAGACGAAAGTTATGGTTTTTGAAAGAGAAGAAAGTAAAACGATATGTGAAATAAGAATAGAAGGGGAGTTGGTAGAGCAAGTAGATAAGTTTGTATATTTGGGATGTGTGTTTAGCAGGGATGGTAGATATGATAAGGATATAGAACGACGAGTGAATGCAGGAAATAGAGTGAATGGGGCTCTACACTCTATTGTGAAAAGTCAGAATGTGTCCAAAAAGGCACGTGTGGCAATTCACAATGCTGTGTTAGTACCTACTTTAATGTATGGTAGTGAAAGTTGGGTGTGGCAGAAGAAGCATGAGAGTAGAATAAATGCTGTAGAAATGCGGTCATTAAGGAGTATGTTAGGGATGAAGCTGAATGACAGAGTGAGAAATTGTTTAATAAGAGAAGAGTGTGGTTTGCAAGATGATATTGTGACCAGGATTAAGAAAGGAATGCTTCGGTGGTTTGGCCATGTAGAAAGAATGAATGAGGAAAGAGTGACAAAGCAAATTTATGTTGCAGAGGTGAACGGCATAGTCGGGAAGGGTCGCCCTATGCGAAAGTTTATCGACCAAATTGGCGATATATTAAAAATGGGCCAAATCAAGAGTACCTTTAACCGACGAGCGTGTATGCGTAGGTATATGGATGTGGAGGAAGCGAGAGAGGTGTGTCAGGATCGTGCCAAATGGAAGTCCATAATCTCTGCCTACCCCTCTGGGTGACAGGCGTGAGTGTTTATGTATGTATATGTTATGTATCTATTTAAGTAACTCTTTATTTTAAGTCATCTAAAGAACAACATTGTAATTGTAACTCTTGTTCTGTTTTCAAATCCGATTCGAAGCTGAAATTAGTGTAAAAACATAATTGTACCTGATTGTCGGGTGTGGCCGTGCAACGAATGTTATTTGCGCTATTTATTTTCTTCGACGCTATTCTAGTCTACCTCGGAACTTATTGCAAAAGCGTTACATTGTATATGGCTAGTTAAGACGAGTGAGTGCCTCCTGCATAGACTCGTGGCACGATTGTACTCCCCGTGCGTTTTATAGATTCATACATATACCGAAGTTGTTATTGATGTGGCGGCGCTGCTGTTTCGCCGATCGCCGATGCCGATCGAAGTTGAGCAGAAGAACATCATTACAAACATCATTCATCTTAGTCCACGAAAGTGACAATGCACCTAAGAAATTACTGTTAGATGTCTCATTAACCTCTCATTTCCAATAGCAATTTAAATTACTTTTGTTATTAGAAATCGTGTTCGTTGTTCACAAGTGTAATTAATCATTGATAGAAATGAAAATGTGGTAGAACCACATTTAGAATAATATTTGCCTAAAATAGGCATCGAATGAAATGCTCGTATCCAATTTTTCCATAGTAAGAATTTACATTAAATTATAAACATTATTAAACCAGTTTTGCGATGCGTGTAAAGTATCTTATTATCATATTTTAATAATTATTTGTTTACGAATGCTATGATCATATTACATAAAATTTATTTTAATGAGAATGAGGTTTATTTGACCTCAATCCCATTCTAGGTTAACCAAATAGCTTTTCTATATTTAATATTACGTGGTAGAGCCGAAAAGAGACGAATGGGTTGGCTCGACCGGGGAAGGACCACGCTCTCACAGAATACCAACGTAAAATAGCAGCTTTACGCTGCTGTGTTTCGTATGGTGAGTGTAGAGAACCGGAGACCCTTTTTACTGGAAACGAAGCCTTCCACCTTAGTCCTTACGGGTGACAACACATCTGCATTTTGATACGTAATCGAGAAAAGATGTAGATGTCTATGAGCCACAGCAACCAATTACCATCAGGTGGACTGTGTGCTCGTTTATCACCCTTATCTTAAAAATTAAAAAAAAAATTAGGCGTTACTTTGCGGAAATCTATGATAATAAACATGTCATAATTAATAAGCTAAGATCCCCGTGAAAAATCTCTCTATTGCAGGCATTGATATACTAAAAAATTGCAGGGTTTCTCACACTAGGATACGCGAACCCCTAGGGGTCCGCCAGTTTATCGTAGAGGGTTCGCGACAAAATTTACGTTATGGCGGCTGACTGGCGGGCTCACGCATGCTACACGCGTGATGGTGGACGCTGCTGTGGCCCATAGACATCTACATTTATCTTCAATTTAGAATAAAAATGCATATCTGTAGTCACCACTGAGGACTAAGATGGAATGTACTCATCAAAAGAAACGCTAGGCTGCTATTTTACGCTGGTATTCTGTGAGAGTGTGTGTAAATATAGTTAAACTATAGATCACCAAACGCCAACTTAACTTATAAATTTCTTCTTCTATCTTAATAATAATAAGACCACTTCAGGACGACCAAAACAAAATTAATCAGTAAAGGATATTATAGTGTCAAAACGTTATCATAAGGTAAACGCGGTGGTTGTTGATAAGAAAATAATTCGATTTTGCGTTTAAACAGTTAATATATATACAGCGGTAAATTTTGTTTCTGTAGTTTACCAAGCGTTACGTTAACTTACTATTATGTTATTTTAATAATATAGGTAATTGAAATAAAATAAAGTTGTAAGATATGTTTTTAAATCTTTGACCTTTGTTTTTTTATTGTGTCTAAACGTCTTATGAACTCCTGACGTTTTATTATATACATCATAATATAATGCCTTACGTGATCATGGAAACTGCAAAGTCCTCAAAACTCTTATTTTGCAAATGAAATTAACCCGTTTTACAATGATTTGCCGCTGTCAAAATTAATATGCATTTTAGCACAGTCCGACCTCATCATAGGACTTAAGAATTAGAGGAGAAGTACTTCTCTACTTCTTAATGTTCGCCAGGATGTTATTAAATATTTTCATACCCGTTTTTCAGGTAACAGGAGGTGTGCGCGCGCTGGCGCCGCAACTGTTCCAACTGGCGCACCTCACCGAGTTATACCTCAACGATAACTCGCTGCAGCGCATACCGCCCGACATAAACCAATTGAGCAATCTACACACGCTCGACGTTTCCAACAACAAGCTCCGCTCACTGCCCGCCGAGATGGGTGACCTCATACAACTCAGGTGAGCGTGAAACGTAAGCTGTGCTCTTCAAGAATTAACACACCCCACTAGCTCCCTCTCTCTCTTTTTATGTCTCGTTAGCCCTGTCTTTTTTTTGTTGAACATAAACTTACTAACACTACTACTAACACCGTTTTGGGTATTTACCATTACCGTTACAGCCTATTAAAGTCCACTGCTGAACATAGGCTTCCCCCGTAGGTTGCCTCATAGGGAAGATGTTTCCATAGTTGCCACGCTCCCACTGTCACCTCTTACGACACCTACGGGATAACACGTACACGGTAATTGGGTATTTACATCTGGCATATAAATGAACTAAGTGGCGTGCTTTGGGAAAGGCCTACAGTGTAGGTCTGTAGCTGTGGACTGCTGCAGTTTCTTGATATCGTTGATGAGGATGATGATATATTATTTAAACGTGGTAGAGCCAAGCTGCAGCTATATTAATTGTATAGTTGTAGCACAAATAGGTCGGCCCGACCGAGGAAGGACCACGCTCTCACAGAATACCAGCGTACACGCTGTGTTTCGTATGGCAAATGTAGAGAATCGGAGACCCTTCTTACGGGAAAAGAGGCATTCCATCTTAGTCTTCACGGCTGACAACGCATCTGCATTTTGATTCGCAAACGAGGATAGATGTAGATGTCTATGGGCCGCAGCAACCACTTACCATCAGGTGGACTGTGTGCTCCTATCTGTGCCTCCTATCCTATAAAAAAATATAGGACGGTTATATTTTTATCGATTGAAGTCAATAAGGTCTTCCGGAAATCTCCGTTATAATTACTCTTATTACATCCGCGTAACAAATGGGGCATCTTACTTCGCTACAATAATGATTAATGGAACAGAAACTATAGAGTAGCTATTGTTAGCGAAATTAGGCCGGCCTGATCATTTATAGACAGCAATTTCACTAAAAATCTTACGTGACTATGTATCTTAATTTAGACATGCTTAATAATTGACACATTCGTAAAGATTCATTCAAAACAAAGTAAAGTATTAAGGAATATAGCGCCAACGAACGAAACAAACCAATTATTAGTGAACAAATGATGTGTTTTGTGTTTTTTGTGTTTTTTTTTTAAATATAACAGTGTCTGTGTCACAATGTGTGTGAACAGAAAAATATTTATTTTTTGTACATTATTTCTATAATTAAATTATAACTAGTACCTATGTTTGTATGTATCGTCATCAAATGATAATTTTTGATGGCAAACATTCAGTGTTGTCTGGGAGCAGTATTGGCAAGTCTTCCTGATAATACATCAAATAAACACATTATGTCATACATTATCATGTGGTTGTTTACAATTTGTCAATAATATTGTTTTTAATTAATAATGTAAATACAGTTAAAAGACGATTAAATGAATAAAGTCTTATCTTAGAAAGGCATGTTTCCCCGTGTGGTCTGATTACTATTTAGATATTAGACCAATTCTTAGCTAACATTTGTGGGGCAAAGAATTAAGTAATATTTATAACTTTTAACAAAAAGTAATAACCGACTTCCAATTGCCAAAAACGAAGTTATTTATTTGCTACCCTTAGGGGTGGAATTTTTTTCTCCAAATTTATATGGGACCACCCTTGAAGTATAACCTATTTAATAAAAATCATCAAAATTGGTTCACAATCTGAGAAGATATCGCGTAACATACATACACAAAAAATCATACACTCGAATTGAGAACCTCCTCCTTTTTGAAGTCAGTTAATAAGGACCAAACGCGTTTCGATATCTACTTTTCATAACGTTGCTACTTGTGTTAATGAGACTTGATCACAATATAATGTAGTAGTGACTAGACTCTAGACCCATAAATCTAACATGACTTCCATTAAGCGCAATCCTAACACACCTCTATCGCTTCTTTCACATCCTTATATCTGTCTACACACGCTCGTCAGTCTGTCTAGGCATTACTAATGACATATTTAAAATATACTAGGGTTATTTTGCAATAACCGGTCAAATTTGCAGAGAAGGATCAAAATAAGTAATATAGAAAAATGGTGAAAAAAATTAATAAATAATCACAAAAGTTCTGTCCTTTGTATCTTTTAAATTCTAAATGCGTGGTAATGCATTATTTTAACTGATTGTCATTCATAAATATCTAACGCCTACTATTGAACTACGCACGCACACTTTTGTAAGGTTCGACCGATCAGCAAAAACGTGAATTGAATCGCACACAGAGGAGCGCGCGTACGCGTAGTTGTTGCCCATAAATCACATTCAATTTGGGATAATTTCAAATAAAATAGAAGCCTTATTCACTCATATACAATTTCAAAAACTGGAATAACTTTATATCATAATTTATACATATATTTGAACTTAAACATAAAACTTGGATACTCTTTGAAACATAAACCTATATATTTATAGCAAAACGTCACTTACTACCTCTTGTTACTACCTAACTTTATTGACAATACTGGTTTTCTGGCTACTGTAAGCCCGAGACCTCTCATAAAAGATGTTAAAGGAACTGGATATACATTGTTTCTATGTTTAAATTCGAGAATGGATTATAATTTAGTGTAACAAATAAATTCAATTATTTTTTATAGATACATATTCTAGTACAAACGTCTCATAAATAAGAAGAGGTCTGCACTTTTAGTTGTAGGATGTTACGAGTACCTTATTAGCTTATTACATATTTTGAAAATATGGATTTTTAATAGCGTGTGAAATCATAATAAAGTCTCACGATGTTAAGCTTACGGTTCGCTTGCATAATTTACTAATAAACTAAGTATATCGATATGCATGAAAAAACGAATATGTCTCCAAAATTCGCACCTACTAACAAAAAACCCAATATAAGGCGTGTTATCAACACGCCTTATATTGTGTTTTTTATCACCTGCACTATAATGTCGTTTCTTGTTTATAAATAGTGCACGGGTCTTATAAATATGATAATAGATAAAACAGCTAAATACCGGGCAGGTTGAAAACATCGTATAATTTATAAATTATTCGGCAAACAAACTAGATTGGTCAGGTCTTTGAACTCTGGTTGATAAGCTTGGTATTTTTATTATTAAAATTACAAACTAGGCAACAGTCTACCTGACAACAGGCCTACTGCAGCCTTTGTACACCTGTGACCACTCACGTGATATATAATGTATAATAAGATGTGATGCCTGTAATTATACTGCCTCTCTTATTATCCACAGAAATATAAATTTATATTTCAGCAGTATGTTTGGCGACAGCAACAGTCAAATGGACAAAAAGAGCTCTAAGACTAATAAGGAAAAACATCTTGTAAAAGTATTTATTAAATTATCCCGATTGTTATGTACTCGTATGTTTTGGAGGGTCCTAATAATTAAAATAATACGAATCCGCCAAATACAATCACTATTTTCTATTTATCTTTTCCAAGAAGAATAATCTTTTTTATTTTTATTATTAGCCTCATAATAAAGTTCAGAAACTAAGTTTGAATTGAATTTATCACATGCGGTGTACAATACACACATTGTCTGATTATTTATAGTCACTAACAACTAATAATTCGAAAAGTTAGTATAAATATTTAAAAAAAATTGTGTTATTGTATACCACTGATATCTATCATCATCAATATCCTATTTCGATCCAGTTCTGTATTTATCAATTAAAGGAGAGCCTCTTGTCCAGACCCAAAATTCTCGCCTAACGCGTTGGGTAGATGTCGCTCTATTTAAGCTAGCACAACAGACACTTGGCGCTATTACTAAAGTCTATTTAGATTTCTTATATTTATGAGGAATTGATAAATTTAAAATGCATGTATGTGTAGTATATGGATGTGCAAGAAGCGATAGAGGTAAAGCGATAGTCCACAGTCTGCCTACCCCTCTGAATCACAGGCAATAGAATTTATGTATGTATGTATTAGTACGAAAAATAATCAGAAGTGTATAACCTATTCGATCAAATGTGATAGTTATGACCACAAATTAACTTTTGTGTAAATTATTAAATATTATGAACTAAAATCATTTGGTCGGCTATAGGTATTTTTTCATATATTTGGATAATATAATCATCATTCAACATTCATCATTACATCCCTTCACAAGTCCACTGCTGAACATAGGCCTCCCCCAAGGAACGCCACAAAGTATGCTCCTGAGCACCTGATAACATAATGATATCGCCAAATCGCCAAATATCTAAGTAATTAATAACAGATGTTTTTTTTTCTGTCTTTTCAAACACATTTACTGATTTTCAGATACTTAAAAATGCGATACTATTGTACAGTAACGCCGTTACTATTATTACTATAAACATATGGAAAGGAGTAAAACTGACAAAATCCCTTCTGTTTCAGAGAGTTGCACCTGAACAACAATTACTTGAGAGTGTTGCCATATGAGCTCGGCAAACTGTTCCACCTTCAGCTCCTTGGATTGCAAGGGAACCCGCTCAGCAAGGAGATGCTCTCCATTTACAACGACTCCAACGGGACCGCGAAGCTGCTGACTTACATGCTCGACAACTTACAAGGTCAGTGCAAGCCATATTTAACCTTACATCCTTTTAGTAATGTCCAAAAACATACTTATGACGTTACATGACAATTAACACAATGATAATTTAAGGAATGTGCGCGTTATCGGAATCTCTTAATACTTGGTAATCAACACGTTCTCTAGTTATATCCTAGCGCCGTACTTTTAATTTGATTTAAAAAAAAATACAAATGTTTCGCATCAATGACAATCAAATATCATAAAGTTTGTTTTAACCTATGTAGATAATTTAGCAATTTTACAGAATATAATTACATAAATACAAGTAGTTTCTTGAAAAATACTTAACTTGTGATATTAAATTCACTAATTCCTAATGCACGATGTCGTAAAAGGCGGCAGAAGAAATGTAACAGGTGATGGACAGCAACATTTTTCTCCCAAACGCCTGCTAACCATAGTAACTAAGGCGAATATCCCTCCTTCGAACCAATCTTTGGGGGAGGGAGACCTAGGTTCATTAGTGGAATTTGGTAGTTTTTAATTTGAAAATTACATGGATTAACGAGCAAAAGCGCATCTTTTTTCATACAGATCAATTTGTAATCGTGAGAATTTAAACTGTTATTTTGTTCTGTGTAACGTATCTCTAGTGTATTTAAAAAAAATCAGGATTGGAGTTTCAACATATAAGTATATTCAAATAATTGTAGTTCTAATTTCTTGAACAAACCTACCAACTACTAAAACGAGAGCGCCCATGACCGGAAATAAACTGTGAATAGATGATAAAGGAAGGAAAAGAAGTAGTATAATATTATGAAAAACTATGTTATATATATACAATATGAAAACAATGTTTATAAATGTATCGTTATTTACCGAATCACTTTATACCGTACCGTTATAGAAATCATATTCATGAAATTTGTGATAGATGATACTTTCTTCTCTTTATTTATTTAGGGACTTGGCCTAATGTTTTCATTTTTCCTTTCGACAATCAACGCCATCTATTGACCGGCAAAGTAATATCTTACAAATGGCGTGAAAACTTAATTTTTTTTTAAATTTACTTATTTTGTATATTTAGTTACACAGAAAAATAATATCATATATTATAAGCCTTGTTCGAAATATTTGTAAACATAATGTTATGATGAATGTTTTTGCGTCTATTGCATCACAATGTTTTTATTAATCTGTTAAGTATTGTAGTTTATTCAATAATCAATGTTGTTGTTAACTGGAAAGTCTGATACACTTTTACTCGTTTGCGTATATTATACCTACATTATCACTTTGAAATTGAAAATAGCAAAAGCGTCAATTAGTAAGTGTCAGTAGTAATGTTATACATCGTCCAGTTTTAAGAGCTTTTTACAATTGAGATTGCATGTTGCGTAGTTTTGATACGTATAGAGGTAAGATACACACAGTCCACCTGATAGTAAGTGGATTGCAACACTGTTATCTATCCTGGATGAGTCCCATGTTATCGTTACTCACTTAGGACGTCCGTTCATCATAAAAAGTATGTGGCACACTGTATATTCCGTATATGGTTTAATTGTTTTGCTCACTTAATGCGAGACCGTCACCATCCCGTATGAAATCTTCTTGTAAATCACACAGTGGTGGACCGCCAATCAGCCAGAAGTTATGGATGATATCGCGAGTTTTGTCGAGATGTGCGAACCTGTCCTCATAACACTCCGTGGTAGATGCGAAAAAATGGGCAAAGAGATGCAACATCTATTCGCAGTGCCATTGAGTCAAGGCGTTCAGAAAGAGCTCGGTCACCGACAATTCGAACCACTCTGCGCAGGATTCCGATATTGGCTAAGGCAACAACAGTGGGAGTTCCCTGAAACTGAGGAGATACGACAAAGGAGTCCTTTTTAGCGGTAAACGCTCAAACTTGTGTGTTCTGCATATTGAACTGGACTAAATTTAGTCGCCCCCAATCCGAGACTGTTCAACAGTCTCAACTTCAGACACAAGTTGTTCCGGTACTTGGCGACATTTTCTTTAGAAATATTGGCACGCCTGGTGTATAGAACATCACCAGTGCTGTCGTCCGCATAGCTACGAATGTTACTGGTTACATTATATATCATTAATACACGGTGATAGCACGCAGCCTTGTGGAACACCAGCGTTAATACGCTTGTAATCTCCTTGATGCTCCGATCTACACAATTTCTCGGCAAGCCTATAGGAAGGGAGCGTCTGAAGAAGCGACCCTGACGAAAACCGTATTGGTGGTCACTAATCAGCTGGTGCTCCTCAAGGTACCGCATGAGCTGATAGTTAATAATGGATTCCATTATTTTCGAGAACAAGGAGGTAATGGTGACAGGCCTGTAGTTGGACGGATGAGAGCGGTTACCTTTTTTAGGGATCGGGTGCAAGAAAGATTGTCTTCCATGAATTCAGAACTACGCCTAGGGAGTAGGAGTAACGAAAAAGACACGTTAAAATCGGTTTCAATACCGGAGCACACGTCTTCAGCACAATAGGAGTGAATCGGTTAGGCCCACTCGCCTTGTTAAGGTCCAGGGAGAGGAGGCATCACTCATGCCGCGGGATGGTCGGCGTCGTGTTCCCCCGTCATCGAGAGTCGATTGGACGCAACGAGAGAGCTTAGCAGATTTCTCCTCTGCGGCATGGGCCAGTGAGTCGTCCTCCCTGTGCAGCGATGATAGAGATGGCTGACAGAAGTTCCCTTGGACAGCCTCGGTGAGAGACCAGAATGCACGTGATCACGAAGGAAGTCGAACTAGTTTCTCCCCAATTCTGCCGATGCGTTCTGACTTTGCCTTGCCAATTACACTTTTGAAGGACCTTTTGAGGATCTCCGAGGATCCCGATCTCTACAGATGGGACCTGTTGTAACATGGAGTCTGCAGCATTTGGACGTGGTCGATGAGTCGGTCTATGTCGGCATTACTTAAATGAACCAGTAGACGCCGGGATGTTTATCACTGTCTACGCGCAGCCATGGGATCCGCAATGTCCACAGATGTCCTCTCATGTATACGCAAACTCCATCCCGGGGCACAAAGGGATACGAATTATAGCCGGTTAGGCCGCCCGAGCAACCACGCTCAGGAAGAGTATGGTAGCATGGGCGTGCATGTTCATTGGAGGATCTCCGTCACCAAAGGTGCTGGTACCCTCCTGGAGTAGTGTTTTATTTAACTCCGGTTCCATGTTAAGGGGAGTGTGGGGAATCGGGTCTCCGTCCACTTGTACTTACCAGGTGAAACGCAGAAGTAAACTTCTATTTCACGCTGGTAGTCTATGAGGTTATGTATCCCGGTTCGAGTCGGCCCATCCGTGCGGACAGCAAAAGCTGCCGCGTGGCTCTACCACTCTAAACTAAAATTGTAATGTACTTCACTATATTCCTTTTAGTCTTTCAAAACAAAGCAATGATAGTAATTTGTTACGATTTAACTTTCTCTCATTTCAAAATTCGAATCTCGAATCGATTTACCTCCTCCGTTTCAGTTAAGCCAAGTGAAAGTTTTTGTCGGTCAACGTTTTCTTCTATGCATGTTTAGCCAATCATTTCAGACAGCGATTTAACTTTTTCCGTAAAGTATAAAAAAGCAAATTATGTTGTGCTTGCAGCTTGTTTGGTTAATATGCTTATAATTTGAAGTTGCAATAACAATGGAGTTTAGGAACTTGGTTTAAATTTTCGTTTTTATTTTCGTCAAAAATATTTTGTCGCCCTCTGACATAATAATTCTAAAAAGTTATTTATTCTCGTAGCTTCATTTTCAAGAGGCTGGGTGTGGAAGTGTGGGTTCTATACAGGGTTAGTTTGTAATAACCGGCCAAATTTGCAGAGAAGGCTTAGAATAAGTAATATTACTTATTATTATTATTATATATACTTAAGTGCGACATTCATAGTACGTGAAAAAGATTTAGACTAAGACCAAATTATCTTTGTAATCTACAAGACAATACATGTTTTCGTAATAATGCATGTTTCGTAAATGCATGTTTGTAACTTAAGCTAAGAAATATTATATATTTTTCTGTCTTAGATTACGATGTTCCATGGCTGTCGTGTCCGATTAAACTATTACTGTTTAAATTTATTGATATAACGTTAAAGCTTCTAGGAATAGTTAAACTTTTGATAAAAAGGAAATAAACTGACTATGGTTAGTTTAACCTTTTGTGTGGACGAAGGAATATTTTATTTTATAGGACAACGTGACAAACGAGCATACAGCCCACCTGATGGTGGGCTGTGTGCTCGTTGGTTGCTGTGACCCATAGACATCTACATCTATCCTCAATAAAGAATCAAACTGCAGTTGCGTTGTCACCCGTAAGGACTGAGATGGAATGCCTCTTTTCCTGTAAAATGGGTCTCCGGTTCTTTACACTCACCATACGAAACACAGCAGTGTTAAGCTGCTATTTTACGCTAGTATTCTGTGAGACCGTGGTCCTTCCCCGGCCGAGCCGATCCATTCGTGCTACAACTGTTTCTAATATAGCTGCAGCATGGCTCTACCACGTATAGCTAGAATATCCGAAGTTCCAACTAAGAAAACGAATGTCGCCTACTTACATTAAAAACGTCATCCCCTATTTTTCTCACCTGTATGTTTGGAATTATGCTTAAAATTTGTGTGGCGCCACCCCCGAAGTGGAGTTATTTAATAACCTATTAAGTTATTTTCTACCATTTGGAGAATAAGTTTCATCAGTGCACAGTTGAACGAGGTGCAGAGCGTGCTGGGTAGCTTATGTACTGGTTTTGGGGTTTACATGTTTTGCGGTTGTTCTCATACTATATCACATAAGCGGCATCCAATATTGGTGTTAGGTTTAGGACGAGTGAAATCCAATTCGTTTGTTTGTGTACAATTGTGGCACGGTGCCTCAGCTGATAGCTCCGAAAATATTTGGAAGTTTATAGTCTTGATCAAATTCGATGAAGATAACTTGAATTAACTAGGTCTCTAGTTCAAATTATTCTTCATCAGCCCGTAAAGTAATCACTCTTGGACATGGGCCTCTCCGTTATAGAGAGAGCTTGCTTAATCGTCGCGCTTAGCGGGCGGTTTGACAAT